TTGAAATGCATTCATTTTGACAAACTATAAAAACTAGCAACCTCTTATGAATACTCATAATAAAAATGTAAATCATATTTAGTACTTAATTGTTTGCCTTTCCTGAATTCAAGTCACTCATTTATTCCCACTAGAGTTTTAGGATATTAGCAGAAAGACAGAAATCTGTTCAATAAAATATCATTCATAAATAAGGTCAGACAGTCTAGCACTATTCCCCAAAGAAATATTTCCTTCTCAAGACATACATTTCCCCCGCAAAGTGTACAGAATGGCAAAACCAGAATTTTCCCTGACAGCTTGCCATTGACAAGGCATGTGTCAAAGCATTAAATGCCAAAACCCCACACAGGCAAAATACATTGGAAGGAAATATTATGGTGTAATTACAGTACACTCATTTTTAACACAACTAAAACTCCTGGGTTTACACAATATATTCTGAGAGACAGCCTAATAAGCAATAAGGAACACTGAATGGTTCTTCAGATGACAATCCTTTTTCATAAGATATTTTTAGTAGCAATATTGTACCTTAGTGATCCAAAAAATATACATAAATGAATGGCAAGAAATTTCCCTAATACTGAGATAAGAATTTGGCTATTTTGTCTCACCCATGATTCTGGAGGCTAATATCTTTAAAAAATTGAGAATCCATATTTCCATCAATATTCTACTTTTTAACATGCTTGCTAGGAATACAGTTTTAGACTCTGACTCCAGAAATATATTGGGGGTAATGGATGACTAAATTATCTAACTCCACATTGTACCAAACTCCACCTAGTCAATACCTCTTAAGTACACTTCCTGTACTTGGCACATCATAAATGTGAAACCTCTGAAGGATGACTTGAGAAGCCTTTGATCTATTTTTTGATGGATAAATATTCCCTTGTCCTCAGCTAGTTAACTAACAACTACAAACTAAAATGTCAACCAGTCAATATCCTGAAGAGGAGGGGAACAATGAGATGCAGGATGATTGTTTACTAAACATTTATTCATTGGCACATTTACATAGAAGGCAATGCCATACATGATATTAAAAACAGATGAAATGAGGAAAATTTTTCCAGTGATTGACTCACAATAAAATATTAATGTTCCATTTTTCTATATTGAATTTCTAACAAGATGAAATAATATTAACATAATTATTTTATTAAAACTCACCAGAAATGTGTGAAAATAAGATTAAATTCTAAAATGGATACAACAGAGGAGAACCAAGATGGCGGCATAGGTTAACGCCGGAGTTTGCCGCCTCGAACAACCATTTCAAAAGTGAAACTAAAAGACGGAAGGGACATCATCCAGACCCACAGGAACGCTGGCTGAGTGGAAGTCCTACAACTAGGAGGAAAGAGTAACGCATACGGACACTCAGAGGAGGCGCA